ACGCGCCTGGCTGGCAGTTTTACCACCCCACCTCGCGCCGTGTCTTCCCCTCTCAGGACGTCACGTTTGACGAGTCGGTTCCCTTTTACCGTCTCTTCCCCTACCGCACTGCCCCTCTCCCCCCCCCGCCGCTCTTCCTTGCTCCAGGTCCCCCCCGGTAGACCGCCTCCCCCCTGAGGGTCGTGCTCCCTCAGGTGTGTCTCAGGTAGACCCACTACCCGGGACTGTGCCTGTCGAGGTCACTGTAGGCTCAGGTGCTGCTAGAGGTGTTGCATCTTGGGGTGCTGGGTCTGGGGGTGCTGCGTCTGGGGGTGATGAGCCTGCGAGTGCGGAGCCTGAGGGTGCTGAGCCTGAGGGTGCGGAGTCTGGGGGTGCTGAGCCTGGGGGTGCGGAGCCTGGGGGTGCTGAGCCTCGGGGTTTTGCGTTTGCTGAAGGTCCTGTGGGTGCCTTGCCACGACAGTCTCCCCGGCGGGAGCCTCTCTCACCGCAGTAGCTGCTCGAGTGGTTTGCTCAGCGCCCACACCTTAGGAGTGGCGCTGCAGCAGCTGGAGGCTCTCCCACTGGAAGCACTGGAGCTGGAGGTGCTGGAGCTATTAGTCATGGAGTTGCTCGTACTAGAGGTACTGGAGCTGCCGGAGCTGGAGACACTGGCGCTAGAGGCACTGGCGCTGGAGGTGCTGGAGCTGGAGGAGCTGGATCTGGAGACCTTGGAGCTGGAGGCACTGGCGCTGGAGGCGCTGGAGGTGGAGGCATTGGAGCTGGAGGTGCTGGAGCTTCTAGGCAGTGAGGTGCTGGAGTTATTACTGGAGCTAGAGGTACCGGAGGTGCTGGAGCTGCTGGTCCTAGAGGTGCTCGTATTAGGGGTGCTGGAGCTGCCGGAGCTGGTGGTGTTGGAGGCACTGGAGCTGGAGACCCTGGAGCTGGAGGAGTTGGAGCTGGAGGCGCTGGAGCTAGAGACACTGGCATTGGAGGCACTGGATCTGGAGGCGCTGGAGCTGGAAGCACTGGAGCTGGAGAACCTAGAGCTGGAGGTGCTGGCGCTGGGGGTGCTAGAGCTGGCGGTACTAGTGCTGGAGGCACTATGCAGCGGCGACCGTTTTTCGTTCCGCCATAGCCGTAGTCTCTGCCGCCACCTGACTCGGTCCTTCGCCAGGTTCTTAGTCTCTCGTCTTCTACTGGCCTTCATCCTAGCCTACTGAGTCCACCGCCTCACCACTCGCAGCCACAGTTACAGCCAGACTCCCGACTGCCTGCTCTTTCTCCTTACGCTGAGATGACATACTCTATTACAGAGCATCGTAAACCTGAGTCTCGTCTTGCCTCGCCTGTTCGCGCTGTTTGCACTGGTCGTCGTGTTCCTCGTCCGCGTCTTTCTCCTGTCACCGGCACTCACATTATGGCACTTCGTCCTTCCTCTGTTTCACTGCGAGTTCCCCTGCCGTTGTGAGAGTACGCCGACGTTCGACATATTTCTCATTTCCATATTTTTATTCTATCTTGTTCTCCTTATTTTCCTCTTTCGTTTGCACTTTATTTCACCTCAATCGGACTACTATTCTATTTTCTAGAGCTTTCAGATTATTTCACTTATTTAGTATTTTCGGCACCGACATTTACATTATACGGCACTGACAGCACCGACAGTGGTGTACAAGGCGTAATCTCGCCATAATCCGAAGTGCCAATGGGCTTGCGTGCTTATGCGCACTTGTGATTATCTATTCTAGAAGAGCGCGTTCCCGAAGGTTCGGATTATCTGTTGTTTCTATGTATTTCTGAGTATAAATACGTATTGTACTCACCTTTAGTGCAACATTATCGAGTGAAAATTCGATCCAGTGACACTTGGTAATCAGAGCCGTTTTCACTCGCGGAGTTTCAGCTAAGCAGCGCGCTCAAGAAATTCCTGCTTCGAAAAACCGCCGGGGGCGACGAGCGCCGACGCTGGTAAGCACCAGATTCCGCGTTTTTTGAATAACCCCCCTCGCGCGTTTTTTGAACAGGATCGTGAGTTCGATTGTTGGCGAAAACGTTTGCGATACAGGGACGACAATTGCGAATTGTCGGCACCTATATCGAGCGGTGCAGAAGTAGCGAGACCGACGCGCGACGGATCGAACGACTTCGGGTGAAAGCGCGCGTCATGGCGAAAATTGCGACAGAAGCAGAATCGACCGTGACTTCGCAGCAGTCGCGAAATTTTCCCAAGGCCCAAGAAATTCGAGGCCCCAACACCTTTGATGGGGAAATCGACGCTAGGCGCTAGCTTTTGGCGATCGAAATTTATTTCGCCGCCATTGGATGGACAGCACCAGCACTCGACAGAAACAGAATTAAATTTGCAGCAACACTACTGCGCGGACCAGCAATTGAATGGATAAGCAGAAGCGGTTTATTAAACCAAGGTGAAGCGACGTGGCAGCAGTTCCGTGAAGGATTACTACAACGTTTTGAGCCGATTAATGCAACGTTTATCGCCCGCGACAAAATACATCGTCATCAACAAATCGGGAGCGTCGCGAACTACACGCAACAAATGGAGGAGTTGTTCAACCGCATCCCCGATGTCACGGAAGGCCAAAAAATTAGAGCATTTATCGCGGGGCTGAAAAAAGAAACACGACAACATGTTGCGGCCGCAAATTGGAGCAGCTACAACGATGTCGTTTCGGCAGCGGAACGTTTCGACGTAACCACGATCGGAACACGACGACTTCATGGACGAGCTAGACGACATGGAGGACGCTTGGCTAACCCCACGTACGCCGACCCGATGGAACTCGATCGAATCGACGCGAAGGCAAGACCAAAGAACAAATCTAAGTGTTCTTTCTGCGGCAAGCCCGGACATCGACTCATCGATTATGACGAAATGAAAACTGCACGTTCAGCGCTTAGGGACCGCAGCAGGAGAGCCGATTTAATGCGAATATTGGAGGATCGTGGAGTGAATTTTTCAAACCACGAACGGACTCTACCAGGGAAAATTGCCGAGGGAAATAAAATCTCCGCGACACAAGACCCTGCTGGACCCGGACAACTCCAAAGAGGCCCTGTACAAAGTAAGCACCCCTTCAAAATATCATACAAAGATACTTTACTTGGGAAAAATTCCCTTGGGTCTACGGCCTTTGTGAAATCACGAGAGAGGCTCCAGAAGAAAAAGAATGTACCGGTACGACAACTACAGCAGCTGCGCATGGGGAACCAACAACGGAGCGTGGAAGATCGACCTTCCAACGACGACATCGTCCTCTCTCTGAAAAACCAGCCCATGTCGACCAACCGGTCCCCACGGAAGAAGTCGGTGGCGCTGAAGCAGCTCAAGAGGGAGCTGGAGGTCAACATGAAGCTGCGACGACCTCAAACTTCCTCTACAGATGCATCTGCAACATCTGAAACATCTACAGTATCTACCCCATCTATGAATTCTACTACAAGCTCGAGAACCATGTCGTCGACGACAACAAAAATTCATGGCAATAGGGTGTCAAACTTATATCTACTATAGTCTGTTTAGGCTGTAGTAGGGTAGTCCTTAGAGGGTACAACACTTTTGTGTTTTCTACTTGTATCCTTCTGCTTTCTAGTTCAATCATTCTTTCGTCAATTCTCTCACATGGTATAGAGCTAGTTTCGATTTTTTCCTAAGGGCCCACCACGAAAAGTTTTTTTTTCCTTACCTGCCCGACGCGCGCGTCGCGCCTACCCTTCGAGGCCCCTTCGCGGCCCGTAGCGGCCCCCATCACGGCCCGTAGTGGCCCCATTCGCGGCCCGTAGCGGCCCCCTCAAGGCCCGTAGTGGCCCCTTTCGCGGCCCGTAGTGGCCCCTTCACGGCCCGTAGAGGCCCCTTTTGCGGTAGCGAGTGTCGTTCGTACGAAGGTGGGTGATGAGGTCATCAACTGTGGCAAAGGCTGAGAGCTCGGGAAAAAGGTAGGGCAGTATAAGACGGCCGAGAGTAGCAGTGGCAGGGGAGGAGTAACGAGTGACTACAGCGTCGAACAATGCTTTGGCAGTCTTGTACTGGCCAAAATGCGTGCGTTCGGCTAATGGCAGGAGGTTGCGAACAGCTAGGCGAGCAGTAGCGTCACGGGTAAGCCACTGTGAGCGAATCGCACTGTCAGACGTCTCGGGAGGAGCAAGGGAGGTCCCAGACGTGTGGTCAAACAAGGAGACACCGTCCCTAGACTCGCTCTGTAGGTATAGCTGCAAGTCGTCTTGCCAGGTCTCAAATTGGATTGGACGGCCCTTAGGATCGAAGGTGAGAACACTGAAAGAACCCATAGCGGGCAAAGCAGGGTGGCGCGCAACCAGTAGGGCAGCACGCAGGCAAGGACGGCGCAACAGGCAGGGCGGCGCGCGGGCACTAGGGAAGCGCGCAAGGCAGGGCGGGGCGGCGCACGGCTAGGGAAGAGCGGCGCGCGGCCAGGGCAGGGCGGCGCAACTGGCAGGGCAGGTGGGCGGCCAGCAGGGCGGCGCGCGGGCAGGGCAGGGCGGTGCGGCGGCCAGCAAGGCGGCGCGCGGGCAGGGCAGGGCAGGGCGGCGCGGCGGCAGGGCAGGACGGCACGGCGGCCAGTGGGGCGGCCTGTGGGCAGGGCAGGACGGCGTGGCGACCAGCAGGGCAGCGCGACGGGCAAGGGAGGGCGGCGCGCTACCAGCAGGGCGGCGCGAAGGGCAGGGCAGGGCAGCGCGCGGCCAGCAGGGCGGCGCGACGGGCAGGGCAGGGCAGTGCGCAACTAGTGGGGCAGGGCAACGCGCAACAAGTGGGGCAGCGCTACGGGCAGGGAACTATGCGGTGGGCCAAAAAAAAAAAAACGGTTCTGGAACACGATATGCTATGAAACCATGTCAAGAAATTGAGCGAAGATGAATGCATTGACAAGAAACTGAGTACAAGTACTAACCCTAATTGGGTTGTACTTTTTATGGGCTACCCCACTACAGCCTACACAATATAAGCACTAAAAGGTTTGACACTCCTTTATCCACAAGCAAGAGGTTCAAGGTTTCAGCAAAGGGACATCACAAGAAGACGTACAAACATTCCAGCCACTCACCTCAACAATCACTTCCTTGTGACACGTGTCGCTTGAACAGCTGGAGCCACTGGAGGAAATTCCCTCAACGCATCCAGAGCAAGGCTCATGAGCAAACTCCACCTGTACAGTTACCTCCTCACCAGGTAGCAGTGAAAGGTAATTCTCCGAGTACACTGCAGGAAGCACCCTCTTGCCATCCACCCGCCGGCGCACATTGAAACTGACAAAGAATGCCACACCTCCAGCGCTTACATCCTCATTCACCCCTGCAGCAGGGTCATTCAAAGTCCCAGTACGACCCACTGCTGATCCTCCTCCTCCTGGGCATCCTGCACTGTGCCTTCCACCCAAAGCGCCTCCCTGGACAGGATTGCTCACCAGCAGATACGCCCTCCACCAGATACACCTCTCTCCATGAGACTCACTGGATGGTAGATGCGTCCCTGCCTCACCAGGGGGAGGGGCGGAGGAGACGCGGAGGAGGGAGAGGGAGAGGTGCAGGTTGTGATGGCGGAAGGCCTCCCCCAGGGCACGGAAGTCACCCAAGTAGGCGTAGGAGGGGGAGGAGATGGAGGGGGCGGAAGGGGGGGATGGGGCGGAGGGGAAAGGTGGGTCGGATGGAGTAGAGGGGCTAGTTAGAGGAGAGGGGCTTGAGAGAGAAGTGGGACATAGAAGGGTGCTGGTGCTTCCATTCGACATGTGTGCTGATGGTGCTGATGGTGCTGCTGATACTGATGGTTCTGATGGTGCTGGTGGTGCTGTTGATGCTAATGGTGCTGCTGATGGTTCTGATGGTTCTGATGGTGCTGATGGTGCTGATGGTTTTAATGGTGCGGCAGGTGGCGAGGCCACTGATGAGAGGGTGGTGGAGGGTGCGTCCAGAGGGAGTGCAGTGAGCCAGTAGACATTGCGCGACACTGTGCTGGCTTCACACCAGCCCGGGGAAGGAGATGCTGATGGTGGGAGGTGCGGTGAGGAGCGGGAGTGGTATGCGGAGGAGGGGAGGGGTGCAGAGGGGTGGGAGGGGTGGGGGCAGTGGAGCAGGAAGACGGTGGGGGGTGGGCTGGGAGGGGAGATGGGGAGGCGGGGGAGGTGCACCTGGTGGGATGGCGTTTGCAGGGAGGGACGGGGAGGAAAGACGCATGGGGGTGGGGCATGGGGATGGGGCATGGGAGTGGTGGATGGGGGTGGGGGATGGGGTTGGGGCATGGGGATGGGGTTGGGGCATTGGGGTGGGGCATGGTAGATTGCGTGGGAGAGGTGAATGAGAAGGGTGGGGAAGATTGTGAGGGAGGTGTTGGATAAGGATGAAAGTCCAGTGCAGATGCACAAAGGCACTGGCGCTGGATAAAGTCCTGGCATGTATGGGACAGAAGGAGACTACATACAGCCATGCTGATATGCACGCATGTGCGTAAGCTTCAGCACCAACATTCATGTCCGCCTACGGCACTGTTTCCCTGCATCACCTGTCATTCCCTCACCTGAACCTGTCATTCCCTTACCTGAACCTGTCATTCCCTCACTCGAACCTGTCATTCCCTCACCTGAACCTGTCATTCCCTCACTCGAACCTGTCATTCCCTCACCTGAACCTGTCATTTCCTCACCCAAACCTGTCATTCCCTCACCCGAACCTGTCATTCCCTCACCCGAACCTGTCATTCCCTCACCCGAACCTGTCATTCCCTCACCCGAACCTGTCATTTCCTCACCCAAACCTGTCATTCCCTCACCCGAACCTGTCATTCCCTCACCCGAACCTGTCATTCCCTCACTCGAACCTGTCATTCCCTCACTCGAACCTGTCATTCCCTCACCTGAACCTGTCATTCCCTCACCCGAACCTGTCATTCCCTCACCCGAACCTGTCATTCCCTCACCCGAACCTGTCATTTCCTCACCCGAACCTGTCATTCCCTTACCCGAACCTGTCATTCCCTCACCTGAACCTGTCATTCCCTCACCTGAACTTTGTCATTCCCTCACCCGAACCTGTCATTCCCTCACCCGAACCTGTCATTCCCTCACCCGAACCTGTCATTCCCTCACCCGAACCTGTCATTCCCTCACCTGAACCTGTGTTGCCCTCACCTGAAGCTGAGTCTCTGTACAGGAGAATGGCGGGCAAGTGAGTGAGAAGGTGGAGGCAGGAGATGCGGAGGAGGAAGAGGAGGAGGAGGATGGGGAGGATGATAAGGTGGCATGCCACAGGCAGTGACCGCTGGGAAGGTGGATGGAAGCTTCCACGGCGAGAGAGGAGAGAGCATGGGCTGTGCTGTTCACCACCTGATGGGTGCAGAAGGGGGAGAGGGGGAAGGGACAGAGGAGAGGGAGATGGCATCTTGAATGATATCTCACCTTGCGTTTTTCCCGTGCGCTCTTTATCGATTTAAGGACCATTTGAGATGGCAGTGAGGTGAGGGTGGTGTGTGTGTGGTAAGTGAGGGTGATGTGTGTGTGGTAAGTGAGGGTGGTGTGTGTGCAGTAAGTGAGGGTGGTGTGTGTGCGGTAAGTGAGGGTGGTGTGTGTGCGTTAAGTGAGGGTGGTGTGTGTGCGTTAAGTGAGGGTGGTGTGTGTGCGGTAAGTGAGGGCGGTGTGTGTGCGTTAAGTGAGGGTGGTGTATGTGCGGTAAGTGAGGGTGGTGTGTGTGCGGTAAGTGAGGGTGGTGTGTGTGCGGTAAGTGAAGGGCGTGCGGGAGGAGAGAGCAGGGGCTGTGCCGTTCAGTGTCCACCACCTGATGGGCACAGTGGGTGGGAGCGAGAGGAGGTGGAGGAGAGGCAGATGGCAGGGAAGGTAGTGTTACTGCAGCAGCGAAATGAAAAGAGATGGAGAGATGAAGAGATGAAGAGAGATGAAAAGAGATGAAGAGAGATGAAGAGAGATGAAGAGAGTGACTGCACAGCACACGGCAGAACGAGCTCTCACAGGAGATAACAGGTAGCAATGAACCTGTTTACCGCAGTCACACAAGAACCACACACCACAGGATCCCCACACACCTACACTCGCCCCGTCTGCTGGTTCAGCTGAACGTGGAGGGGTTCCAAGGCATAACGCACACCAAACAGAGCTCCCGTAGGAGAGGTAGCGGGTGGGCACACACACACCAGCTTACCACAATCGCACCACCACCACATACCACACGATCCCCACCCACACACCTGCACGTGCCCGGAGTGTAAATCAAGCTGCGCGTGCGTAGGCTCCAGGGCACAGCGCACGCTGTACAGCCCGCCAGCGAACACGCGTGCAAACGGATCCAGTAGCACTATAGTCAACACCAGCATTCATCACAGAAGCAGATTGCAAGGCCTCAAGAAACTCTACCCAAACATATAAAACAACGCAAGACAAAGGGGGCGAGCCAGCAGTGCCTATTCCGAAGCGGACAAAGGCGGTCTGTGAGCTGCACAAACCACTGACCGGGGGGGTGAGGACGGCCACAAGGGCCACCCTGACGAGTGCCAGTCTGAATAAGGTACGGGCGGGAGGAGGGGCGACACCACGCGACATCCAGCTGGGTGGGCCACCGCCACGTCCAGCGCTCCATGGTCCACCAGGTCCGCACTGCTGAGACTGCTGCCGCTGCTATGCTGTGTACCTATGTTGCAAAAGACGCTGGGCACGTCGTGTGTCCTGCGTCTGGACGCAGCGTCCAGATGCAGGGACGCAGGACGCACGCCGTTTTTATTTCGGGCTGACCGGGAAAAAAAAATTGCCCAGCGCGAAACTGACATTCGCGCTTTCGTCGCGAATGTCAATTTCGCGAAATTTTGACCCCCCCAACACCCATTTCGACCTTGAAAAACCGCCCCTCAACCAAGTTTGAAAACCCCCCCAACCATTGTGGTCCACCACGAAGTACTTGTAGGAGCACAAACACTTCATTTTCCTCCATATCTCAAGCTCACTTCAATTCTCCTTCAAAAACCCTAGTGGGTTTAGATCATTCAATTCTCCTTCAAAAACCCTAGACCATGTGTGACTCTTGGGGAACCTGTTTATGGGGAAAATATGTTGGATGGGGAAAATTTTGCCTCAAATGTGTGGTACGTCGTTCTCCCCCCCTCCTTCCCATGCCCTGTAGCATGTTTTTTTGGCTGCCCGCACGTTTATTTGCCCTGCCCGGGCATGCGTCTTTTTCAGCGTCTCACAGGGCCCAAAGAAGCGTCCTGCGTCTAAGACGTTGCGTCTGGACGCAAGCGTCCTAGATGCAGGACGCGTCTTTTGCAACATAGCTGTGTACCAATCAACTGGCCCAGCACCCCCTCCCGTCGGGCCCGCAGGCCCAGTACCACCTCCATACTGCATCCTCTGGCGCACTAGTGCCGCCATTACTCCGCCACCCCCTCCACCACCATCGCCGCCACCACCCTTACCCCATGTCTTACCTCCCATGCCTCGGGTCCGCCCACCAACGACGGACATGGTTGCGGTCTCGTTAGAAGTAGGACACGCGGTAGAGGCAAGAGAATCAATGATGGTAGGGAGTTGTAGGACAGTACACCCCTAAAAGAACGGAAGAATTACAGTGGCAGAAGCGGAGGCAACGGAGCGGGTGTTGCTCTCGATGTCCTTGAGAGCTGTCTCAAGGACATCGATAACAAGCGCACTAGGGCGTTTCCGAAGAAGTGTGTCGCGTACAGGTGCAAGGCGATCAGGGAGGCTAGTGACTATGAACATGTGCATGGGCGGGGGGGCGGATGCAAGCTCAGCCTCAGGAGTCAGTACAAGCAGCACGGTAGCTAGCGTCAAGCGAGCGCAGGTGTGCGACAAGGTCAGCATTACAGATAAACGCACCTAGGTCGGGAAACAAAAATGGCATGAAGAGGCAACCGAGAGAGGCGGGGGAGGGACTGGAGTAACGTGCCTTTATCGCATCACAACAATCCTTGGCAGATCGAACCTGGCTGAAGTGGGCCTCCTCAGTCTCGGGGAGAAGGCCGGTGAGAGCAATACGAGCCGCAGCCTTACTGATACACTGACAAAGCTCTACGGCCCTGAGTAAAGCGCTCCTGGTCTGCGTTAGTAGGCTCAGAAGGTAGGTCTGCAGGGCGCGGAGGGGAAAGCAGGTCACCAGAGTCGTGCGCCAGAGCGTGTCACCATCCTGGCGCTGACTCTGGAGGTACAACTCGGCGCGGAGGAGCCAGGTGGTAAAATATAGGTGCTCATCGAAATGCAGGACTCGAGAGGATGCCAAGGTGAGTGCTCTACTGGACTAGGAGCAAAAGGCTGGAAATGACCGGAGCTAGAAGCGAACGAAGAGCGGTCGGCACGAAAAAGGTTAGTCTAGGAAACAACGAGGCGGGTAACAAGCGTAGCCAGAAGAACCAGGCTAGGGACACCAGTCACAACAAGGGGTTAAAACTAAGAGTGTTGCGCAAACCCTAACACGGCGCTCGGGAGGAAGCACGAAACTCTACGAACGACGCAAGGAAATGAGAAAAGTGTCACCAAGGGTTTAGGCTACTGTGCGTGTGGTGATCTGTGCACGGGCGCAGGTGCCCTGCTGTTAGCGGCTGTGCGTGCGCGCGCGTACGTGCGGCTGCACGTGTGCGGCTTCGTGCTGGCGCGCGTGCGCGGCTTCGTGAGCGGCCAAGGCTGCCTAGGGCGGTGCGCGGCCTGCGGAGGGGCGCGGCGCTGGCTGCTAACGGGCGGGGCAGGGCCTGCTAACGATCACAGGGCAGGGCCTGCTAACGATCACAGGGCAGGGCCTGCTAACGATCACAGGGCAGGGCCTGCTAACGATCACAGGGCAGGGCCTGCTAACGATCACAGGGCAGGGCCTGCTAACGATCACAGGGCAGGGCCTGCTAACGATCACGGGGCAAGCTAGGAACGGAGCGGGTCTTGGAATGGAGCTGGCCTAGGAATTAACAGCGGTGATAGCATTTCAGAGAACGAACAGCGGAATGAGTTCACTACGAACCCTAGAAATGAGATGTACTCCCTACAAAGCCCCTCACTATAGACTAACAAGCTATTATAACACTTGACAGATACATGCATGGTTTCATGCATGCACTGATTCATCCATTATGCGGTCAATATGGACCTCAATCCCCTGGACTCCCATACACTACTCGACAACCATCAACTTGCTGTTCCCTGGCACTGCCATGATTAATGAAGCAACCTCGCAGCACATCGGCTCAGCACCACATACCTGCACTTTGCCCGAGTGTAAGTCCAGCTGCACATGAACGGCCTCCAAGGCACAGCGCACGCCGTACAGCCCGCCAGTGGCGGCCATCACGTGGTCGTACAGCTGCCCCCGCAGCCCCCCCCAGGGGTTCTGCCCCTTCCACAGCAGCACCCCCGTGTACCGCTCCCACATGCGCGCACTCCATGCCTCAAACAGCGAGCGGTACTGCAGGTAGTTGGCTATCTGGGCCTGGTGGAGTGCACATGCGGGGAGGGACTTTAAGACGTGTCATGCATTGACAGCACAGCAGCACCCCCGTGTGCCTCCCCGTCCATAAAGCATGCGCTCCATGCTTCGAAGAGGGAAGAATGCTGCAGGTAGTTGGCGAGGAGGGCCTGGTGGGGTGAATGGGGAGGCGAGGAGTTTAGCGACGTGCCAAACATCCACAGCATTTTGAGGCCGTATGGCTGGCTGGCTTATGGATGGCACATGGCACATGGCACATGGCACATATTGGGGCGTGACTAGCTGGAATAAGGATGAGACGAGTCATCGTGGAAGAACAATGAAAAGTACAACAGCTTGCCATGCTGCGGACAAGATACTGGGCGGATGGAAATAATGTTACATTGATCACCCCGCAGCATGGCTCCTCACTCACCTTGGCACAGAAGTCATCAGTCCCTCCACGGGGCCATACGTGAGGATCTGATTCTTCACTCGCACTGACCCCCGCTTCCACTCCACCCTGCTTTCTCCTGCCTCCTGCATCCTCGCTTCCTCTCCTTCTCCCCCCTGCTCCAACTCAATAACCGCTCCTTGCTGCACCACACCTGCTTGCTGCTGCCTGCCTGCTTGTCGTCTTGCCCCTCCTCTACCCACCTCAACCCCTCCATCTGAATCCGTTCCCACCATGCCATACGGTATGTACGTATGCACCTTCCACCCCTCACTCTCCTCCTCCACACACTCCCCTCCACACTCCTCCCACCCCTTCCCAAACACCGGGGGGCTCCAATCACTCTCTGGGAAAAACTCGCGCAAACTTTCTGCCTCGGGCACCCCAACAGACCCGATCTCAGGGTTAAACGCGTACGGGTAGTAATCCGGGCAGAAGAAATCTTCGGGGTTCTGGATGCCATAGGGCCCGTCCGTCCAGCCGCCCTTGCTGTCGGCAAAACCACCCCATAGGGAGCCCTCTATGTACGCCCTTGTGCCGTCCGGCAGTAGTGACGGGTCGGGGTCTGATTTGGCTGTGGAAGGAGGGGTGGAGTGGTGAAGGAAAGGGGTGAGGAGGAGGGAAGGAGAAAGGCTGCAGCGTTTGAAAAACATCCTATTGTACCATCCATCGTGCTGAAAAGAAGGCTTAGAGTTTAAGGTTGATGTGACATACCACCCCACTCACCACCCCGCGCACCGTTCCATGCACCCACTTAGCGAACTTGACAGCCTGGATTTGGGTCCACCCACCACTCCACTCATCATCCCGCACACCACCACACCCACCATCCCAGGGATGCAATACAGCCTTAAGCCGGGCATTGAGGTGTGCAGCAGGGACGGTCTCATTGCCACCCACCCACAGCGCCACCGCATTCACTCCATACACCCAACACACCATTCCATGCACCACCCCACACACCATCATACAGCCGCAGCATGCTCTTAAGCGAGTCTTTGAGGTGAGGAGCCGGCACGGTCTCGTCGCCGCCCACCCAGAGCGCCATCCCCAATCACCCCATGCACCAGACACCACTCCACACCATCCCACGCACCATCATACGGGCGAAGCATGCTCTTGAGTGAGGCGTTCAGGTCGGCAGCAGGCACGGTCTCGTCGCCGCCCACCCAGAGCGCCATCCCCAATCACCCCATGCACCAGACACCACTCCACACCATCCCACGCACCATCATACGGGCGAAGCATGCTCTTGAGTGAGGCGTTCAGGTCGGCAGCAGGCACGGTCTCGTCGCCGCCCACCCAGAGCGCCATCCCCAATCACCCCATGCACCAGACACCACTCCACACCATCCCACGTACCATCATACGGGCGAAGCATGCTCTTGAGTGAGGCGTTCAGGTCGACAGCAGGCACGGTCTCGTCGCCGCCCACCCAGAGCGCCATCCCCAATCACCCCATGCACCAGACACCACTCCACACCATCCCACGCACCATCATACGGGCGAAGCATGCTCTTGAGTGAGGCGTTCAGGTCGGCAGCAGGCACGGTCTCGTTGCCGCCCACCCAGAGCGCCAGGCTGGCATGGTTGCGCAGCATGCGGACACTGTCCGCCGCACAGACGAGGAAGAGGCAATGGTCCAAAGGCCACGAGGGGTCTGATGGGGGAAGGCCGCGCCCGTTACAGTCGCCCGTTATCCAAAACTCCTGCCACACCTGTGGGGGAACAGGGGAGTAGCGACAATATTTTCAGGCTGGCATGGTTGCAGAGCAAGCAAGCGCTGTCGGCAGCACATGTCGGCCACACATGTGAGGAAGAGGCGGAGGTCGAGTGGCCATGAAGGGTCTGATGGGGGCAGCTCCTGGCCGTTGCAATCACACCTGTGCGTGGGGAACAGGGGAGTAGGCGACACGAGTTTTTGGCTGGTTTGGTTTGAGTAGACATTCAAGTTTCAATCCATGCCTCGCTACACTCCTGCCACACCGGCGCAGGGGAACAGGGGAAATAGGCAGCACAGACTTCAGTCAGGTTTGAGTTGATGCGAAGCACTCAACATATGCATTTGATCCAGAACTCCTGCCACACCTGCAACACCTAATCCATTCCCCACCCCACTCCGAAACCCCATAACATTCAAAACCTGCACATCACTCGAACCCCTCCCCTCACCAGGATCTCCAGCCGGTCACAGGCATCATAGAACTCAGGGCGTTCCATGAGAGCAAATACCCATGCACTCATCCCGCCCACTCCCACTTCCACCCCACTCCAAGCTCACCCCCAAACCCTCACCAAGATCCCCAGCTGGTCACAGGCGTTGTAGAACTCAGGCCGTTCCATGAGAGCTCCGGCCCACACGCGAATCATGTTCACCCGGGCACATGCAAAAAGTTTCATCTCTGCCCAGTAGCGCTCCGCTGAGAGGCGCAGCATCGCGTCAGAGACAATCCAATTCGTCCCGCGTATGAAGAGCGGGCAGCCGTTGATGTAAAAGACCCTGGTCCAAGATAAGAGCAGATACAATGGATGAGTAGATGGGGAAGCACAAAGCGCGGGCAGTGGTTGATGAGAAAAAACCTGGTACTTGACAGGAGTAGATACAGTGCATGTGGACATAGATGCAGAAGCACAAAGAGCAGGCAGCCATTGATGGAAAAATCCTTGGTACACAAGTAGATACAGAGCATGTAGACATGAATGGGGGAGAATGAACAAGATGTGTGATACAGGATCAATGCAAGAGGGAAGTATGCGGGAGGTGGAAAGGGAGAAGGAAGGTGGACGAGGAAAGGGCAGGGAAGAGGGGGGGAAGAGGGGGGAGAAAAGGGCCTGAGAAGAAACCAATGTAGGAAAAGAGGAGCAAAAAGAGTGAAAAAAGAGGGGAGAAGGGTAAGCGTGTGTAAGATAAAGACGAGAGTGCACCTACCTGCCGCCAGTGCCCTCATCCACGTTGCTGTCAATCTGTCGGAACCCAAACTTGCTGCTCCACACGTCACTCTGTATCCACCTCTCCTCCCCTTGCTCTCCACCCTCCCCCTGTCCCACATCCCCATCCCTGCCATACAAAGCCGAGCTAACAAAACTTTTTGCCTGCCCGAGGCTCTGAGTCAGCGTGAGAGAGAGAAACCGGCTCCAAGAAGCAGAGGCAGGTGCGAGAGGAGGTGCAGAGGCGGAGGGAGATGAGGAGGAGGCAGGTGCGGTGGGGGGTGAAGAGGAGCGAGGTAATGCAGGGGAGGAGGACAAAGGCAATGGGTCATCGACTGCCACTGGGGCTGCAGCACTGCTCGTTGCTGCTCTCGCGGCCACGCTTTCACTGGCTGGCACTGTAGCTGTCGTTTCAGAGGCTGAGAGTGAGGGTGTGCTGTAAGGTGCTGCGACTGGGTCCAGGTCGCGGGGTTTTTCAAGGGGGTCAAAGGATGCGAGGCAGGAGGGGTGCAGCACAGAGGCGGTGATGGCGACGTCATACAGTGGCTGTGCACCCATGCCATTAGGCCACCACAAGTGTGGGTGAGATACGAGTAGCTGCAGAGGGGAAGGGGGCAGGAGAGGGGAGGTGGGCAGAGGAGTTGGGATTGCAGAGTCAGAGGCAAGCTTCGAATCAGAGGCAGATTCAAATACGACTCAGTCACACTACAGCAACACGTGCATGTGTGTGTGATTCGTGTCTCTTGGCTTGGCATTGCACCGGGCGGAATGTGCGAGTGATGCTGCTGCTGGCAGGCTTTTTCTATGCGCCTCGAAAAGCACCTCAAGAACCCGCATGCTTGCTTGCTCTGTGTGCTATCTGGATCGTACTGGCTGGAATGTGTGAGTGATGTTGCTGTTGGCTGGTACCTCCACCTCCTCCTCCCTCACTCCCTCCACCATCACAAACCCCTCCCCCTCCTCCTCCTCCTCCTCCTCCTCCTCCTCCTCCTCCTCCTCCTCCTCCTCCTCCTCCTCCTCCTCCCACTCCCCCTCACACTCCCCGTCCTCACTCGCCCTCCCTCCTTTCCCACCCCTCCATCCCCTCGCGCCTCCCAATCCAAGCTCCCCTTGACCACTCCTGTCAGGGCCGCGAGTGAAGGAGAGCTCGAGAGACAAGCGCGTGCGGAGGGGGATGGGGAGGGAGTTGGTGAGCGTGAGGGAGCAGTGGAGAGACGCAGAGGAGGGGCAGAAGGGAGGGGCGGGAGGGGCGGTAGTGGAGGAGGAGGAGGAGAGGGAAGAGGAGGAAGAAGGAGGTGAGTGTGTGGGTGTGCTGTGGTGCAGAGCTAAAGAATGGTCGCATCCACTGCTCTTTCCGCCAGCAGCAACAGCAGCAGAAGCGGCAGCAGAAGCAGCAGGATGAGTCAACTCCTCGGTTGCACGGGTTTCATCTGCATGCTCGCTCTCCCCAGCAGCTGCGTGCGAGTCATTGCCGCGTTGGGATGCAAAGACAGCCACGAAGTGAGGGTCCTTGATGGTCACGGGCTGCCATACATGCATGCATGGACAGGGGGGGAGGGCCGAGAGGCTCCCGAGTTGACTCAGTTTTTAAACGACGGCCACGGACTGCCATGCAGGCACGCACAGGACAGCGATGAGTGGAAGCAACACACTCTGGAAAAGTGCCTTGCTTTTCTCCCATGAGCAGTAAATCCCATGTCCACGGTCCACCCGCCCTCACTCACCCCAGTCACAGCAACGTGCACTTGATCCCACATGCCCGTGTTGCGATCCCTGCCGTCTCACAGCAAGAAAGAAAGAAGCATGCCTTCAGCAAAGCAGAGCAAGCGGGGATGGGTGGAAGGAAGCGGGGAAGGGGAAGGTGAAGTGCTGTCGTAGATGCGAGGAGGGGAACGGACTGGTAGCCATCACTTTAGAAAGCCACGGATGCAAAAAGCATCATGGATCCCACGAGGAGCAGCTAGGCAGAGTGTTAGCTCATTCAGAAAAGAGGGATAGGGTACCGGATCGGGATGATCCAATCCCAGCCCTCCACGTATTGAGCTGTGACATCCTTCGCCACCTGCATGCATGGGGCATGGGGCATGGGGCATAGTGGCATGGGGCATGGGGCATAGTGGCATGGGGCATGGGGCATGGGGCATGGGGCATGGCACATGGGGCATGGGGCATGGGGCTTGGGGCATGGCAGATAGGGCATGGGGCATGGGGCATGGCACATGAGGCATGGCACATGGGGCATGGGGCATGGCACATGGGGCATGGGGCATGGGGCATGGGGCATGGGGCATGGCACATGGGGCATGGGGCATGGCACATGGGGCATGGGGCATGGGGCATGGCACATGGGGCATGGGGCATGGCGGCATCAGGCACAGCAGCATGGAGCAAAGCAGCAGAGACAGGGGCACTGATGGGCTAGGAGTCAGCTTGCGGCATGCGGTTGTGATATTGAAGGTTGCAGGCCACACAATGAATGTGATACCCACCCCACTCAACTCAACTCCACTCCACTCCACTCCACTCCACTCCACTCCACTCCACATGCAGCCAAGAAATACATTACCACATAAAGCATGCCCAGTGGCGTGCCAAATGGTGTGAAAAAGGTAATTGGCATGCGTCCAATGGCATGCGTCCAATGGCATGTGTCACATGGCATGCGTCACACAGACCATGGCATGCACGAGGCTGTACCTGGTGGTCCCCGCCCTGCCCTCCCCCATCCACGTTCCCCGGGTGGTCCACTGGATTCACCACAACTGCCAAGTGGTTCCTGCTCTTGCTCATGCTGCACCCATTGCTGCTGCATTCACTGCTACAACTCTTGCTGCCGCAATGGCCCCTGCCACTGTCCGCCCTCCTCGCCAGGTCAGTGATGTCCAGCTGGCGCCGCAAGAACATGCCAGCTGGCTGGTCGATGCTGAGCTGGCGGCCGTTGAGGAAGGCGGAGAGCGAGTAGTTGACACCGCGGAAGCACAGCCACACGCGCTCCCACTCAACGCGCTCGCACCCACTACAGTCACCCTGGCTACAGCACCCTTTGTCACCACCAGCAGCAGCTACAGACAAGCCGGACTCCTGGCAGTGCAGCAGAGCCCGACAGCATCTGACAGCAGGAACCTTCCTGGAAGGCAGGTGGAGGCAGCGGCGGAAGAGGAAGGTGTAGAAGGGGCGGCCAGCGTGGGCGATGTCTGGAATGCAGTCAAGTGTGTTGCTGCCGTGCAGGGGGTCCGGGAAGACCCCGTTCGCCACCAGGCTCGTGAGCACTCTGTGGGGAAGAGAGTGAGAGGAAGGTGAAGGGGTTGGGCTTGGGCACTGATGTGGGTGATGTCTGGGATGCAGTCGCGTGCGTTGCTGCCGTATAGGGGGACCGGGAAGACCCCGTTCTCTACCAGGCTTGTGAGCACTCTGCGGGGAAGAGAGCGAGGAGACGGTGGGGGGGGGACATGGTCTAGTGATTTTTGAAGTGCGAGGGAAGGGGGGCACGAGGGAGACTCGGAGTGGAAGGGGGAAGCACGGTTTGATAGTTGGCAGTTTGCGTTGACAGTACGACGGGGAGGCCCCACGAGGGACGAGATTGAGAAGCACAAGAGACTCAAGAGCAAGCGAATTTACTAACAGAGAGATTTAAGAGCAGAGAGATTCGGAGAGTATGAGGAAGAGCGTCGTAAGTAGACGGCGAATGGTGTGACGCAACGACATTAGGCACGAAAGGACAACATATGACACCACATGAGATGTATTAGAAAGCGGTCGTTTCCGGTGGCGTGCTTCCCGTCACGGTCCCTGCTAGCTCGAAGCCTACTACACCACCGGCAATCCCGGAAACGTACGTTCCTGGAACAACGGCTGGCATCCAGCCATCCTCGTTACAATTCCACTCGCTGTCCACGCCGTCACTCTGCCCATCGGTTGATGCTTTTCCGTCAGTCTTTAACGAATTCTGGGCGCCTCTTAAATCGCTTGATTCTGGTAACTGGGTAAGCTGTTCGCCCCTGACGCCAACCCGCGACGCTCTTTTCATCCGCCAATCGGAGTGCAACAGCTGGCACCAGGGCAACGTGCCCGAATCGTCTCCTGTGAGTGCCATGGTCGCTAGCATGGCAGACGGGAAATCGAAGAGAAATATCAGATTTGCATCACAAATCCGCCATTTCCACCTTTTCCAAATTGCTTCTTGGCCTTGTCAAGTACTAGGTGTAAAATATGCTCCGTGTTGTAAGGAAAATTCATTTTCCTCACTTCGCGTCCCTGCTCAGCGCGTACACCACAAAATCCCGCCAACAGCACCCAACAATAATCCGTTACCACTCGCGACATTCGCCTCGCCACTATTCCCGCCACTGTTCACGACGCGACCCAACCTCACGGCTCGGTTGGTAACCCGCGCTCCGGACCTCCGCCTCGACAATTCCCAACCTCGGCACTAGGCCTGTCGCACACCCCATTTTCCACACGTTACCGTTACCACTGTAGCTTCGCTAGGCATTCCTGTATGCTGCAGGAGCTGACTCTACCGAGTGCGAAGGCGAGGGGTCAGAAGAGTCGAAGCGACACCAACAACCGTCTGATCAAGACCGATGCAGGCAGAAACATTTGAAGTGAAAAGTGTCAGAAGCTAGACGAGGGAATGATTGCATTGAGAAGAAAGTTGGTACAAGTACTAACCCTAATTGTGTTGTACCCCTTATGGGCTACCCCACTATAGTCTACACAATATAACATTATAACAGTTTGACACACCCCCATAGGCAAAGTGGGGGAGAACAGGGGGTCACAAGACCAGTCCAGAAAAAGCAAAGCAAGCTCAGGGTGGATCACAAAGTCACCAAACACTCTGAGCACAAGCAAATGGCCACAAGGCAAGTTCACATGCAGAATTATATAAACGAGAACAAACAGTACCATCAGCCCCCGGATAGAAGCGCCCCTGGGGGTATAAAAAAACACTGTTTTTTAGGGGGTGCGCTTATAATCGAGGATTTTTATAAGCTCCGGCGCTTATATAATGACATTTATGAAATGCGTCTTTCTTACACCAAATTGTAGATCACATTCTTGCAATTTGAATCGAGTCGAAACTGTGAGAGAATTGAGGAATGAATGATTGAACTAGAAACGAGGTGGGTACAAGTAGAGAACACAGAAGTGTTGTACCCTCTAGGAACTACCCCACTACAGCCTAAACAGACTATAGCATATATAAGTTTGACACACCCCCATAGGCAAAGTGGGGGAGAACAAGAGGTCACAAGACCAGTCAAAAAAAGCAAAGCAAGCTCAGGGTGGATCACAAAGTCACCACGCAGTCTGAGCACAAGCAAAGGGCCACAAGGCCAGTTCACATGCAGAGTTATATAAAGGAAAGCAAACAATACAGTGAACACAACCTAGCAAGTATAAGCATGCAGGTATATGTACAAAGAGTACAGGCAGAGTAAAAAAGAAAGCAAGTGAGGCACAGTAGGTACAAGGCCTAACACAGTCCAGAAGCGCTGATGATCACAAGGCTGAAGTGCCTTGGTGAAAACATCAGCAGTGTTGGCCTGAGAGGCCACGTAAGCTAGACAAAGCTGGCCACGCTGCTGCAACTCTCGAGCAAGGAAGTAGCGCAGAGCAATGTGCTTCGTTCTGTGCTCCAGTCTGTGCTCCTGACACAAGGCCAGCATGGCCTTGTTGTCGACGTACAGAACTGGAGGAGAACGAGGCGCCTCTTCCAAGTCGGTCAGCAGGTAGGTGAGCCAGCGTAGCTCCTGTGCAGCCATGGCCCCAGCGTAGATCTCAGCCTCACAACTGGAGCTGAGAACAGAAGAAGAGCGGGTAGACCGCCAAGAGACAGAACCGGAGCCAAGGCTGAAGGTGTAACCCTGTGACGACCGCTGCGTAGCCAAGTCGTCAACCCAGGAGGCGTCAGCGTGACCAGTGAGGACAACTCGAGCCCGTCCTCCAAGCACTAGCCCCATGCCCGATGTACTGCACAAGTATCGCAACACCCTCTTCGCAGCATCTCAGTGCACCTTTCGGTGCCTGCCGGGAGCCACGTAGCGAGCCAGAAGGCTGAGAGGGTATGCGAGGTCAGGTCGTGTGCAAGTCATCAGGTACATGAGGCAGCCAACAAGCTCTGGATACGGACCACTCGGCTCTACGGACTCGTCCAAAGGTGGAGCTGAGAGCGAGTGACCGGTAGGCAGAGGAGTGGACTGTGGCGAGGAGTACGTGAAGCCGAAGCGCTGAAGGACCTGCTGCACCATGTGTGACTGAGTCAAGGTAATGGTGCGCTGTGCTCTGTCCCGGGTGATCCGCAAGCAAAGATAGCTTGTCAGCTCACCCAGGTCTGTGCACGTGTGTCTCTTCTGCAGCTCGGACTTCACGTGGGCGAGTGCCTCCGTGTCAGCAGTAGCAAAGACGAGGTCGTCTACGTACACGAGAACGTAGAACGGCGGCAGAGTAGCGTCAGTGCGTAGAAACAGAGAAGGGTCAGCAGTGGAAGGTGCAAAACCAAGAGAAGCAAGAGTCGTCCTGAGCGTGTCGTGCCACTCACGGGGCGCCTGGCGGAGACCGTAGACTGGCCGCCGGAGGCTCCACTGGGTACCAGCAGGAAACGACCCAGTGAAGCCAGGTGGGCGGCGCAGCCAGATCTCCTCGTGCAGGCTGCCCTGTAGGAAGGCTGTGCTGAAGTCAAGAGAGTGGAGCTCGTAGTCACGCTGAGCAGCAACGTGCAGCAGTACCCGAAGAGTGGTCATCTTCGGGGTAGGGGAGAAGGTCTGAAAGAAGTTAACTCCCTGTCGCTGACTGAAGCCACGTGCAACGTAACGCGCCTTGAAGGCATGCGGAGAACCCGGCGGCCGCTTCACCCTGAAGATCCACATGCCACTGACGATGTTCGCCCCAGGTGGGGGAACCTCGTCTACGTAGGTGCTTGTGGACTTCCAGGAAGCCATCTCTGCGTCCATGGCTGCCTGCCACTGAGAGGAGTAGGGACCCTCTATCGCCTCTGCGTAAGAGCGCGGGGTCGGGATGTCTAGTGCATCCGGGTCTCCCTCAGGGGCCAGCAGCATG